CAGAAATTTACTTTTCATACTTAAGTACAATAAATGTTGTATACTTTAAGACTTTTACTCAAGTAATATTTTTAGAGACGAATTTAACTGTTTCCAATTAGTAATTGCATGGTAATACTTGTACTTTTACTCAAGTATCACTTGAGGTACTTTATATAACACTGTAGAAACATGATATTGAAACGGATGCCAACTATTAAAATAATTGGTATCTTTTATTTCTTGAAATAATTTACAAAATGCTTCTCACAGCTATTGTTTTGTGTTAAAATAAACATTTGTGTAAAATTGTTGCTAATCAGTTTTTTTCATTTGTATTTAATGCAAAGTTGGTCTTAAATTTTATTTCAAGTGGCATTAAAAAAATCTTAAATTTAACTTGCTGTAGGAACCCTGTGTAAAGCTTTGTACAGGCATTTAATACATATACTGTATATATATTTAAAACCCTGTATAGGGACAGTGTATGTGTTGCTTTGTTTGATAAAACTGTACAAAAGAAACAAACATTATGACGGATAAAAGTTCCTTTTTTATTTTTAAACCCCCGTGTGGAGAAATTAATTATCTGCATTTTTTCCATCGCACATGTGAGCACAGCTCTTTGGAGCAGGGGCTGCCATTTTTGAGGCGCCTGGGGAACAACTGAGGGGGTTAAGGGCCTTGCTCAAGGGCCCAGAGTTGGGGGAGTTAAACCGGTGACCTTCCAATCACAGGTTCACCTTCTCTAATCCCTGCATCACCACTCCCCCAGATCTGGTGATTCTGCAACTTTGTTGTAATATAAATGAGTGAGACCAGAAGGTGTTTACAGACTTTTTATTTAAAAATAAAGAATGGACAGTATTTTCACAGTGCTAGGTTTCAGTCTACTCAATTTAAGACTTCAGCTTTAGAAAATACTCAGTCACATGGATTTAATGTTGGCATGAGAAGACACATCCATCCATCCATCCATCCATCCATCCATCCATCCATCCATCCATCCATCCATCCATCCATCCATCCATCCATCCATCCATCCATCCAT